GACCTATCACACCTCTGGCTATGGGTGGTTTCAGATATTTCATCACCTTCACAGATGATTACTCTCATCATGGATGGATTGAACTCTTACGTGAAAAGGGCGAGTCCCTTAATGCATTCAAGACCTTTAAAGCAACAATCGAATTGAAATTTGGCAAGTTGATCAAGTGTGTGAGATCTGATAAAGGAGGAGAATTTTATGGGAGATATACTGAGACTGGCAGGAACCCTGGGCCATTTGCTTTGTACCTTCAAGAGCATGGCATTGAAGCTCAGTATACTATGCTTGGCACCCCGCAGCAAAATGGGGTTGCAGAAAGGCGAAATCGTACTCTCATAGATATGGTTAGGAGCATGATCAGTCACTCCTCACTGTCGGAATTCTTGTGGGGTGATACACTTAAAACTACTGTTTTGTATTTTGAATCAAGTTCCTAGCAAGTCAGTTCCAAAGACTCGGTATGAGTTGTATTTTAGAAGGACTCCTGCGCTGAAGCATATGCGAGTTTGGGGTTGTAAAGCACAGGTAAAAACCTTACAATCCACAACAGATGAAGCTTGATGCTAAAAACTATTGATGGTTTTTTTATTGGCTATTGCATCGGATCTCGTGGGTACAGATTTTATTGTCCAAATCACACTACTAGGGTATTGAATCTGACTGAGCTTACTTCTTTGAAGATGCCTTAGACAGTGGGAGCTCTGTGCCTAGGCATATTACCTTGCATGACGAAAGTAGCATTTTGCCTATGCCTATCTTGACAACTCCTCATGTTGACAAAAATAATACCGTGGATCAGAATGAAGCTTAAGATGAACCACCTTTAGAGGGTGATAGGGACATGGTTGTTGAACCGAGACGATCCTAAAGGATTCGCAGGTCTGCTATTCCAGATGATTACATGGTATATTTGCAGGAATTTGATTTAGATGCTATTGATAGCTTAGACCCAATGTGTTACCAGGAGGCTATTTCTAGCTCACATTCTTCTGAATGGTTGGAGGCTATGAGTGAAAAAATTGCCTCTAAGTACCGCAATCACGTATGGGAGCTTGTAGAGCTACCAAAGGGGTTTAAACCAGTGGGTTGCAAGTGGGTCTTTAAAACAAAACGAGGAGCTAGAGGTGAAATTGATAGATATAAAGCCAGACTTGTAGCTAAAGGCTACAACCAGAAAGAAGGTATTGATTACACAGAAACCTTCTCTCCGGTATCCACCAAAGATGTTTTTAGAGTGGTAATGGCTTTAGTTACACAGCTTGATCTTAATCTTCACCAAATGGATGTCAAGACTGCATTCTTGAATGGCGATTTGTATGAAGAAGTCTACATGATACAACCTGATGGTTTTGTTGAATCTGGTAAAGAACATCTAGTGTGCAGATTGAAGAGATCCATCTATGGGCTAAAATAGGCCTCTAGGCAGTGGTATCTGAAATTTGATGAAGTTATCACCTCTCTCAGTTTTGTTGAGAATGTCTCAGATCAGTGCATCTATCAGAAGTTTGATGGGAATAATTTTGCCATTCTTGTTCTCTATGTTGATGATATCTTATTAGCCAGCAATTCAATAAATTTCTTCAATGAGATAAAGCACCTATTGTCTTGCCATTTTGACATGAAGGACGTGGGTGAAGCCTCCTTCATTCTTGGGATACAAATTCATCGTAATAGATCTCGTGGTATTCTTGGTTTATCACAGGCCACTTATATTGAGCGGGTACTTAAGAGATTTAGAATGGATTCATGTTCTCCTTCACCTGCTCCTGTACAGAAAGGTGAGCTATTATCAGAGTTACAGTATCCCAAGGATGATAAGAAGAGGGCTGAAATGAGAAAGATACCATACGCTTTTGCTGTCGGCAGCCTCATGTATGTTCAAGTGTGTACTCGACCAGATATAGCCTTTGCCATTGGAGTGCTAGGTTGATACTTAAATGATCCAGGTCCGGATCATTAGAAGGCTGCTAAGAAAGTTATGAGGTATCTTCAAGGTACGAAGAATCATATGTTGACTTACAAAAGGTTAAATTCTCTTGAGGTGGTTGGGTATTTTGATTATGACTTTAAGGGATCAGAAGATCTTGAGATTGTTGGCTTTTCAAATTCAGAATTTGCCTCTTGTCTGGATGATCGTAAATCCACGACTGGCTATATTTTCATGTTGTCTGGAGGAGCTGTTTCTTGAAAGTGTGAAACAGACACTTACGGCAGTTTCATCCATGGAAGCTGAGTATATTGCTTGTTTTAAGACTACACGTCACGCTATATGACTGAGGAAGTTGATATCTGGCATGCGCCTAATTGAGTCAATATCACGTCCTCTGACCATTTATTGTGATAACAAATCTGTAGTATACTATGCTAATAATCACAAAAATTCCAGTCGTACAAAGCATTTTGATATCAAACTTATGTTTGTGAAAGAGAAAATTATTGAGTCTCAAACCCGTGTGGTACACATTCCTGGCACGCAGATGCTTGCAGATCCGCTGACTAAGGGCTTACCTGTAGAAGTTTTTCAAAATTATGTAACTTGTATGGGTATTGTGAATTCCTTTGATGTCCTAGTTTAGTGGGAGTTTGAGAACCTTTTATATTGCAATTTCTCTTTAGGCTTTGTTTTCTTCTGTGAGTTATGTTCAGTTCAGTTAGATGCGTCTATATCATTTGTATCCCTATAGGATTCAATGATTCTGTTGTGGTACGCTATGCATGTCACTTGTTTCCCATAAGAATCAGTGATTTATGTTGTTATCTTGCTGAGCTGTATTTGAAATAAAATTTCATGTTTTACTCAGATTATAAGATATCATATCACTTGTTTTCCCATAGGATTCAGTGATTTTATGGAGTTTCATTTTCTAAATTTGTTTGTGGCTTGTTTATACAACTTGCTTAATTAATGCAATCTAAGTGGGAGATTGTTGGAATATTATTTATGAATTAGCATTAATTAATAAGCCTAATATATTGGTCTTTATGATCTTGTATGGACCATGATAGGTGGACCACACAAGTAAGCCCAATGTGCAGAGGCCCAACCCACAACCCAGTAGCCGTCAGTTATTTCCTATCTCTTAACTGACTGAGTCAGAGATAATAGATAATATAATTATTTAATTATTTAATAAGGTGGTTACCGATCTTATCTATATAAGACGATTAGTCAGTAACCACAAACACACGACTCATTTTCTTCTACTTCCATTATCTCTGAACTCTCTGAAGGCTCTGGGGACCTGAGGGTCGTGTACCTGCCTATACTCGAGGTAATCGAGATTTCTCTAGCACTCATGGATTCTTCTGGTACGTATGAATTACTTTATTCTATCATATTATTATTATACATGTGAATTGAGATATTAAGATCTACATTGAAGTCCATATAAAAACTAATTAAAGTTCAGAATAAAGCAACATACAGTTAAAGAAAATATTAGAAGCATAGAGGGAGCGAGATGAGCGAGAATGTTGGTGGCACCATGCCATTTTTGCAGCCATTGTAGACCCAATAAGATCTTGATCGGAATCTACATTATAAGGCTTTTTCAAGAACGAAATTACAGAGGAGCAATATGTCGAGGGTAATCGGCAGGGGAAATGTTAGCTTTACCTGAAGACTTGTTTTTCGCTTACATTATCAGCATTTGTAAATGGAGGGTATTTTAGTCTTTTAACTATTAAACTTAATTTCATTTCAATTATACTGGATTGAAGTGAGATTTCAAATTTCAATGGGTCTCATTTATAATTACGTCACATCCCTGATCTTGTATTGAAATTCTCCATAAAATTAAACATGATGCAAATTTAAGAATTAAAAGCATACTTTCCAAAACTATTTTTTTTTTCAAAATAAAAAAAACATAATAAGACTTATAGTTATTTTTGAAACTACACAAAATATGACCTTTTCTACACAATACAGGCAAATCACTTCGAGATAACAAAGCAAGTAATAATCTTATTCACTATCCACACTCAGTAGCTTTTGGAGTTTCGAACATTATTTTTTTTTCTGTCGAATTATGATGTTCACATGATTCCAATTGAATTGTAAGCAATTTATCGTGTAAAATACTAGCAATTGATCAAGGACCGTTACGTTTTCAAACAATTAGGCAATAACAAATTCAAAGCAATTGAACAAAAAAAAAAAAATTCAAAGCAATTGAATTGCGTCTCCAAATTTTGGCACGTTCAAAGCAATTTTCACACAATTTTTTTTTACTGCACAAAATTGTCTGATGAGAATTTAATTCTCTCTCTCGCTCTCTCTCTTCAGTAAAACAATTAATTTTTTGAAGGGTCCACAGACGCCTAGATCACAAACTCCCCCTTTTTTATATATAAGAAAAAATAATTATATTACACAGTTTAAGAAAATCAATTAATTATAATAATTGTATATACAAATAAAAAATTAAATTAAAATACCCTTGTATTTAATCAAAATAAGGTTTGACTAATTATTTCTCGTGAATAAAAATTATGAATTTATAAAAGGTGGTTTAGGAAAGTTGTACTAAATATTTCTTGGGTTATGTGATTTTACTTATAAATAAGTACAAAACAACAAGTGATAGTTTCCTTATATATAAAAACGGATGAAGTATATCTAATTCATTATGAGCAAATAATTAATTAAAAATAGATACCTCATATGACTATGCAAAACAACATGCAAGTATTAAATACTTATTTCATCTGAGTTATTGAAATCTATATCAACATTATATAAACTAACTCATTCATTAATTTTAAGTAGAATATGAATTTAGACCAATTGATCTTGATTTCAATGGTTTAAATAATAAAGACACTCAATGACTATACTAAACACAGTCACCACCAAATTGAAATCCATATATATATATATACATATCTTTTCAACGAAATCATCACTGTTCAGAGAAAGAAAATTGGAAAACAATAAAATTATTCATTAAACTTACTCTAAAAACATGACAACGAAGATACTTTATGACGCACAGAAATATTTCAAATATATACTAATTTCATCAAACCATGATACGAAATACATATTTCAATGCCATCCATGTATTATTCCTTTCCCTTACTCTAATTATTCATACTTAACGCAAAGTGATCATAGATCATCACTTTCCTTTCACAGATCAGTAAGGTTTTTGTCCAACGTAGTTGCCAGGAGGATCATAGTTGCAACCAATGAAGGTTCCTCCATTGTTACACCTCACTTTAGCACATCCAACACGAACCGAATTCTTCCACACCACCTGAGTATAGTGTCCACACACCTTCCCTGGATCACACGTGTTGCTGTCATAGTGATAGTTCGCCTTCTCGGCCACCCACAGATTTACGGCAGCCGTGCCACTTAGGTCGCCGGTGCTACCGGCAAGGTTCTCACCATACTTGCCACCACCACCGGAGTGGACCAACTGGCAGTCACCCTGGCGTTGGTTAGCATAGTTTTGTGCAAAAGCAGCGACTGTGTCATCCCAAACTATGTTTGGAACACCCACTTGTGATCTTGCAGCGTTGTGGGCATTCACATAGTCTTGTGGTGAGTCTTGAGCAGAGGCCGTAAGGGCAAAGACAAAGAAGAAGAGAGAAAACGAAAGCTTCAAAGATAGCTTCATTGTTTGTTGTTGTGTGATGTACTGTTGGATGAAGAAATGAGAGATGAGGAATTGGGAAACCTTGGGGAGCAATTTATAGGGATTTTCGTGTGGAAAATTAATAATCTTGGTCCTATAGGTCGAATCTTATGGTTTGCGGGGTCCGTCTTCAGCACTCAACAGGGTGATAAGTCACCCTGATGAGGCCATCCAGATTTAAAGTTTTTAATTTATATCTTATATTTTTAAAAATAAAAATTATAAACTTTTTAATATACCTGTTAATTATGAATCTGAATGGTATAAATTTAATCTGGATAGTTTAACTTAATATTAAAAATTTTATATAAATTGATTATCTAGATATATTTTATACAGTCGAGATTGAATATTTATTTTTATATATTTATTTTTGAAAATAAAATGTTAAAAAAAGATAATATCCTGAATGGAACTTTTCAAAAAAAATATTAAAAGTTAAAAACTTTAAATCTTGACTGTGTAGAGAAAATCTAGATAGGCAATTTATAAAAAAAAATTAAATATTGAATTTGGGCATTCCAAATTAAATCTAGATTATCCATATTATTGAAAAGCATATTTATTAACAAAATTATTTTTATTTACATAAAAATATAAACTAAAAATTTGAAATCTGGACCACTCATCAGGGTCGGAAATGATGACTGATGAGCAGCGAAGATGGTTCCTAGCCAGTTTAATTGTGTAATTGGCGATAAAAAGACTTGCAGATCTTATTTAATCACTTAATAGACAACAGATTATTATGTCTATTTCTCTAATTTGGTAGACCGTGCAGCTTGAAGAGATCCTAAATTAGTAAAAACATTGTTAAACTTTTGATAATTACTTATTTGGGTTGGATAATTAGAAGGGGTAGAAATTTCAAAATAATCATATCGTTTGGAGGGCGGCCGAGAAACTAAATAGATCAGTTTCTATTCTCTCTGTTTTTTTTATAATTAATATAACGATTGTTATAAGCTATAACCTATTAGGGTTGTGTAGGCACGATGCATGAGTGCATAGTTGAAGTTTCAAAATAATCAATATGCGTGAATGACTAAGAGACTCTATAGTCTTGCTATTTGTTTGTTTCTGAGGTTGCCGTATTCCATTTGACTTTCCACAGATTAGACAAAAGAAAGCTATATTAGATTTTGAGGTTGACACAATAATTTAAAAATTGCATCATTTTTCTGGCTTAGTATCTCGATGAGATCTTTTTAAGTGAGATTTTTTTTTTTTCTATTGAGGTATGAGGCTAAAAGCTTGACCTTTAAATTTTAAAATTTTTTATTTAAATTGGTCTTTCTTGTGGTGAGATCTTTAATAGATTACAGTTTATATCGTAAATACATATATTTTCACCAAACATATAGGAATAAAAAAATTAAGCGTATATAAATTTTACGGTTTGTTTCCTAATTAATTAAATTCCGAAAAATATTTACCAAAGTACTAAACAGGCATAAAATTTTAAAATTAAAGTGAATGTATGTACATGTGTACATATTAATTATAAATATTTATATATGCATGTATCATCAGTAGATAATATATTATAACATGTCATAAAGTAAAAATGAAAATAAATGAATTTTATTTCAATATCGATTGATTTCTACTTCACAAACCATTTCTGAAATATTAAGTTGACTTTTAAGATTTAAATTTTGATGAAAATAGAGAACTACCGAGTGCAAAAAGGTATAAACACAAGTATTATACGATAAAATTTACTTTTATTACATGGAAAAAAAAGTCACCGAAATGGCATTCAAAATATGCAAAAAGTTTATCTAAACAAAATATGCATACATTTAATTTATAATTTTTAAATTTTTCGTATCTTACATATCATGCCATATTGTATTCAAAAATTTATTGAGAAAATAGAACATAAAAATAGGTACCTAAGAAGGTTATGACTCATGCAAAAGATCGATGTCACATATTTCCAATGAAGTCACTATTCAGGAAAGAAAAATAAAAACTTCAATTCCTCTAAACATGAAAAACATCAAATTTATTCTATGAATTGAAATTTTCTCTGAACTTATCCTGAGAATAGCAAACAAGATACACAAACAAGTACTTTAAATTTAATCTTATTATATCACACCGTGACACTACATGAACTTGATACAAAGTACATGTTTCTTTCCCATTGATATATTATTCCTTTTCTTCTATTTATTTATACTTAATGCAAATTAAATTTAAAACACTATACAATCATCATTTTACTCTCATTGATCAGTAAGGTTTTTGTCCAGCTATGTTGCCATGAGGATCATAGTTGCAAGCAACGAAAGTGCCTCCATTGTTACACCTCGTTTTTGCACATTCAAGACGAACCGAGTTCTTCCAAACCACTTGAGTATAGTGCCGTCACTCCACACCATCGCACAAGTTGCTCTTGTAGTCATAGTTCACCTTCTCGGCCACCCACAACTTCAAGGCATCAGTGCCACTCATGTTGCCGGAGCTCCGTGCGATGTTCTCCCCATACTGGCCACCAGAGTGGATGAGCCGATAGTCACCCTTTTGTTGGTTAGCATAGTTCTGGGCATAATCAGCCACCGTATCATCCCAATTTATGTTTCGAACGCCCACTTGTGATCTTGCTTTGTTGTGGGCATTTTCATAGTCTTGTGGCAAATTTTGAGCATGGGTTGTGATGGCAAAGAGAAGAAGAAGTAGAGATGAGATGAAAATTTGGATGATAGCACCATTGTTTGTTAATTAAATTGTGTAAAAGTGTTTTGATGTACAAATGTGGGACCTTGGGGGAGTTTATAGGAATTTTTGTGTGCAAAATTAATTTGGATCGTATAGGTCTAACCATGCAGTTTGTGTAAATAGAGAGAAAGAGATTAATTAGTAGATTATCCCCATTTAATTAACAAATCACTCAGTAAAAATGTTATATTGTTAAAAATGACTAATTAGGGTTGGATGAGAAGTTGTGGAAATTTCAAAACAATCATAATGCGAAGAGGACTAACGAACTCAAACATTACATCTTTTTTTTTTCTTGCCATTAAACCATATTAATATTAATATTGAGTAAATAGACATGGTGGCTGGTCTTATATATTTAACAGGTCGTCCAATATTATGTCTATCCTTCTTCAATTATATAAACTCTCATGTTGGAAAAATATTTATTAATAGGAAAAATTGTTAGCCAAAACAAATTGGTCGTACGTATTTAACATGGGGTGAAAATTTCAAATAATCATAATGCGTGAAGAAGTCGAAAACTAGAGAACCGTATTCCACTTGATTTTCGACAAAGTAGAAAAAAGAAATCTAGCTATAATAGATTTTAAGGTTGACAAAATAATTTTAAAATTCCTTCATTTTTCTTGCTTCGATTTCTTACTGAACAACAAAACAAGTACGTAATTTTAAGATTAAATTACACTAAGTTGTGTATATTGAATATTGGTAAATTAACAAGATTGTATATGTTCTCAAATCTGTGTAAATATTTTGCAGGATTAGTATGATACTTTAGGGACTTTTTCCCACGTAATACAAATATATTTATATAGTGTGTTACTGTTAAAACTGTGTTTATACCTTTTGCCCTCGTAGTTCTTTATTTTCAACAAAATTTACAAGTCAAATGAATATTCCAGAAATGGCTTGTGAAGCAAAAATCAATTGATTTTAAAATAAAATTCAACTATTTTTTTTTCATTTAATATCACGTTAGATGGTATTATTTTAGTGTCTTATTACCTATGTCCTAGTAGACGAGTAGATAATTATTACATTGGTTATATTTAATAAACTTTAATCTGCTTAATTATATTATTTGGAAATTTTGCGTATAAATATAGGGGATAATATAATCACAGCTTATCATATGATTAAAATTTTGTTCGCGTAAATTAAATATATGTTAAAAACGTATTGAATAATTTCATATTATTTTAATTTTATTGTGTAAGAATATCATTTTTTACATTTATTGTGTAGGATTTAGAGAAAGTTTCAATGTCTGAATATTCTTGTTTCATGTCTTATAGGGCCTTAAGCCATTATGTTTAGCTAGGTACTTATATACTATATATATTTGATTTATTGGGGAGAAGTATATATAGTTGCATATATAAATCTAATGGTTTTGTTCAACGTTGTGTTTTGTTTCTTATGGCTGACAAAATTATATTGACATGAACCCTCTTGCTAATTCCACGAAAGCACAAACTTAAAAGTCACGGTTGGGAAAAATATACTTTTATATTCTTAAATTTATATTACGATTTTTTAGTATTTTCATTGTATACATTTCGACCAAAATTTTTTCTTTTCATTATTCATCATTACTTAATTTTATATAGGATCAGACTTTCAAAATATTTTTTAAAATATTAAAAAAAATTATTACAATCTTAGAAAAACCCGAATTCAATAGTTATCAAACCTAAATGGGTTTTCTCCTCCATTTGTATGCAATTGATGATTTTTTCAGAATGAAAATGACATTAAAAAAAAAACACACACACACACACGCACACAGAGAGAGAGAGAGAGCTCTCCTAATTTCATCTTTTTTTTCAATCTAAAAATATTTAAATACTCAAATATTACAAGTGTTTTGTTCATTACAATATTTAAATTTTATTTCTGAAAAAACAACAGAAAGCAAAAGCTGGTGGGTAATTTTAAACTAGTTGCTAGTTTACTTTAAGGAAATTATATCAATTATTTATTTATTTATTCAAATATAATAATAACCTCCTGAATTAGTTACTTTTTATTATTAATAGTTCACTAATTACGTATGAAAGAAACTTTACAAAAAATTCTTAATATACAGAATTGATATTTATTTAATCTTACGTCTTCATTTTTCATTGCCTACCTAAAATAATTTTTATACTTCTTTTGTTAAAAAAATTAAATGAAAGAAAAATAAACGGAGAGAATAATAGATAGGAATAGGAGTGAGATGTACATGTGAATCGAAGTTTTATCACTTTATCTATTTCTCTTCTTGCATGACTTTTTTTAAATAAAAAAATCCATATCGAA